ATGACTGCTCTTTCCTGTCAAGTTCTGGAGGTTTTGGTGCTTTTCTTATTTTTTGTTTTTGTCCCGAATTTTGTACTTTTTTAATGTACACTGGATGTGAAATAGCCTACTGTGTTTCTTTGGGACCCAGGATTTTGTTGGAGATACCAAGGGATGGATGTAATTCAGTGACATTTTGTCAGGCTGTTAAAGAGTGAATTTTCCTTGACTGTGGCAGGAGGTAATTATTTTTGTTTGTTTGCTTCTGACACAGGGGAAGACAATTTGGGGTTGTTATTTCAGCTATTCCAAGATACTTTCTGTTCTGTTTGGCAGGAAGGGAAAAAAGCATTTTCCTCTTGGAGGAATAACCAAGTCTCTGCTTTCCCCTACGGACGGGATGCACTTTTTAACATGGCAAACAGTTTTGCAACCTCAGTTTCTTAATGATTTTCCCCTTCTCCCTGAATGGACCTTTTCGTCCTCCTGGCATTGGATCTATAGTACATTCTGTTAGGAAGAGTTAACAGCAGGCATGAAATATCCTCAAAGCAAATACAACAGAGATGTGGCTTCTGCACTCAGAGTTCACACTCTTCTGGGCGGAAACAGGTATGGGCAGCTAAATCAATAATAACAATAAGAAAAATACTTATATCATTTTTTGATGTAAAACAGATATTTATGCAGTTGATTCTAGAAAGAAACTTCTTTGAATAATATTTTTTGTGGTCTAGCTTCCCATGCTTTAAAATTTTAGGCATTTAATTAAAATGCATTAAAAATATATTGCCTATTTAGTACTGATTGGACCCTTTTAAAAATTATTAACTAAAATCTTAGCTAACACCACATTCCTGAAATTTCTCTGAGGTAAATGGTGAGAACCAAGACCTCAGCTCAGGGGCTGAACTATGCCTACTGGCCCCTTGGTACCTGTTCTCAATGGCTGGCTCCGTAGAGGCAATGGGCTCCCCAGGGGAAATGTCCTCTCCATACCCACCACTTCCTAGTCCCTCTCACATGTATCTCACAACTCTTTAACAAGGCCTTTGGGATGACTCATTAGAAGGGAAAATTGTTAACCTACATTGTTCTCAAGCAAGGTTAATTCAAAAGTTATCTGAAATATGAGCATTTGCCATATATATTAAAATGAAAGTCCACTGGGTAAGAATTTATGGGCTTCACTGTCAAAGAGACAGAATAATTATAACAGTAATAATAAAAGAAACTTCTGAATTCTTACCATGTATCAGTACTGTGCATTTCCACAAGTATTATCTCAGTCATTCCTTACAAAGCCACTGGTAGGCAGCTATTATCCCCATTTCACAGATGGGCCAACTGGGGCTTGGTTCCTCAGTGATTCTTGTCAGCCAAGGATACCTTTTCTTTTTGCACAGGAAGAGTTCAAGTCTTGTTTCAAAAGGGCTTCTGGAGTCACCACCATCACTACCGATTCAACAAACTACGTGCGATGTTGGCAGTGGATACAGTTTAGGATTAAGCTGCACCCTTCACTAAATGTCTGTTTAGTACATGGCTACCAACTACAGGCTGTTTTTGTTTTTAACTCCTGTCAACTTCTAAACAACATGGATTTTTTTTGGGGGGGCGGGGGGCATGTCACTGTCCTCAAAAGGTCTTAGATATCTTAAAAGCAAAGGTGGTGAAAAATAGAGAGGAAAATCTGCGTGTGTGTCTTCTCAAGCATTGGACGTAAATAAGGACATCCTAGGTTTGTAGTTTTTAAACAGTGTTCAATGCAGCTGCATGCAATAAGGCCTCTGAGACTAACCCTGCCCCAGTCTTTATTTTCCTTGAGCTGGCGTTCCCTGGAAGACACAGTCTGTCCAGCGCTGATGTCCCACAGAAAGCTGCGCTCTCCCTGTCTACTTCCACAGGTAGAGATCTCCTACCTCTACTTTCTATCTCTGCATTCAGAACAACTTTCTGAGATTTCCCACTGCGTCCTCCCTCCCACAACACAGTATCTTCTCCAATCCCTTTGCATGGTAAGCACACTATCCTACATTCATAATGCAATTTCTGAACAATCCCTCCAACATCTCTTCTTACCTAAAGTTCAATTATTCTCACCTAAAATCAGTGTCCCCGACTGCCTACACAGGCAAAATACACAAAAAATGCATAAGTCAAAATACACGTTACATACAAAATACACATGTTACATTCAAAATACGCATATTAGTGACCCCTTAGCACAGTGATGGCGAACCTTTTGAGCTCGGCGTGTCAGCATTTTGAAAAACCCTAACTTAACTCTGGTGCTGTGTCACATATAGAAATTTTTTTTATATTTGCAACCATAGTAAAACAAAGACTTATATTTTTGATATTTATTTTATATATTTAAATGCCATTTAACAAAGAAAAATCAACCAAAAAAAATGAGTTCGTGTGTCACCTCTGACACGCGTGTCATAGGTTCACCATCACTATCCTAGTGGGTGGGGCG